GCACCTGCAGAAAGATACACGCACCTGCAGAAACACACACACACCTGCAGAAACACACAGACACCTGCAGAAACACACACACACCTGCAGAAACACACACACCTGCAGAAACACACACACACCTGCAGAAACACACACACCTGCAGAAACACACACACAAACTTGCAGAAACACACACACCTGCAGAAACACACACACACCTGCAGAAACACACCTGTAGAAACACACACACCTGCAGAAACACACACACACACCTGCAGAAACACACACACACCTGCAGAAACACACACACACCTGCAGAAACACACACACACAAGCAGAAACACACAGACACACCTGCAGAAACACACACACCTGCAGAAACACACACACACCTGCACACATACACACATACCTGCAGAAACACACACACACACATGCACAGATACACACACACACCTGCAGAAACACACACACAACTGCAGAAACACACACACCTGCAGAAACACACACACCTGCAGAAACACACAGACACACCTGTAGAAACACACACACCTGCAGAAACACACACACACCTGCAGAAACACACAGACACACCTACAGAAACACACACACACCTGCAGAAACACACACACACACACCTGCAGAAACACACAAACGCACCTGCAGAAAGATACACGCACCTGCAGAAACACACACACACCTGCAGAAACACACACACCCCTGCAGAAACACACACACACCTGCATAAACACACACACACACCTGCAGAAATACATACACACACCTGCAGAAACACACACACACGTACAGAAACACACACACACACCTGCAGAAACACACACACGCACCTGCAGAAACACACAAACGCACCTGCAGAAAGATACACGCACCTGCAGAAACACACACACACCTGCAGAAACACACACACACCTGCAGAAATACATACACACACCTGCAGAAACACACAAACACCTGCAGAAACACACACACACAAATGCATAAACACAAACACACCTGCAGAAACACACCTGTAGAAACACACACACTTGCAGAAACACACACACACGAACAGAAACACACACACGCCTCCACACATACACACATACCTGCAGAAACACACACACACCTGCACAGATACACACACACCTGCAGAAACACACACACACACACACCTGCAGAAACACACACATACCAGCAGAAACACACACACACACCTGCAGAAACACACAGACAAACCTGCAGAAACACACACATCTGCAGAAACACACACACACATGAAGAAACACACACACACCTGCAGAAACACACACACACACCTGAAGAAACACACACACACCTGCAGAAACACACAGACACACACCTGCAGAAACACACACACCTGCAGAAACACACAAACGAACCTGCAGAAAGATACACGCACCTGCAGAAACACACACACACCTGCAGAAACACACACACGCACCTGCAGAAACACACACGCACCTACAGAAACACACACGCACCTGCAAAAACACACACACACGCAGAAACACACACGCACCTACAGAAACACACACGCACCTGCAAAAACACACACGCACCTACAGAAACACACACGCACCTGCAAACACACACGCACCTACAGAACCACACACGCACACACCTGCAGAAACACACACACACCTATAGAAACACACACACCTGCAGAAACACACAGACACACCTGCAGAAACACACACACCTGCGGAAACACACAGACACACCTACAGAAACACACACACCTGCAGAAACACACACCTGCAGAAACACACATACACACCTGCAGAAACACACACACCTGCAGAAACACACACACCTGCACACATACACACACACCTGCAGAAACACACACATACACACCTGCAGAAACACACACACCCGCAGAAACACACACACACCTGCAGAAACACACACACACCTGCAAAAACACACACACACACCTGCAAAAACACACACACACACCTGCAGAAACACACACACACACACCTGCAGAAACACACACACACCTGCAGAAACACACCTGCAGAAACACACAAACACACCTGCAAAAACACACACACACCTGCAAAAACACACACACACCTGCAGAAACACACACACACCTGCAGAAACACACACACCTGCAAAAACACACACACACACCTGCAGAAACACACACACACCTGCAGAAACACACACACACACACCTGCAGAAACAACAACAACAATCGCCATTCACCACTAAGTGGCGGTGACGTCACCACAACGTTTGTGCTAGGCTATGTGCACCTTGAGGCCACGTGAAGTGTCGAACGCCCGCTGGCAGGAGGTCACGGGGCAGACCCAGGTGCCACGGGTCGACTGACTGAGATGACTGGCTGATGCACCACCTGTGCCCCCTACTGTGCCAACCTGCTGTGCTTTAGCCACCCGGCGCTCCGCTCGTTGTTGTGAGCGTCGCTCTTCCGCCCTCCGTTGTTGTTGGAGGGCGACTGCCTCCAACTGCCCAGTAGCATCCGTCACGAGCCTCCTCCACAGAGGCCGATCTTGACACCGCTGGTACCAGTCATCGGCAAGTCCACTCAACTCCACGTCCTCCTGTACCACATCACTCCATCTCTTCTCTAACCCGTGCCGCGCCCATTTAGCCCCCTCAATCCGGCCGAACAAAAGCTGTTTCGGCATGCGGTGGCTGGGCATGCGGGCTACATGACCCAGCCATCGCAGCCTTGCCCGCCGGAGGAGCTCACCGATGGGTCCTTGCCCAGATCTTTCAAGGATTTGTGAGCTCCTCACACAATCCAGCCTGGGTAAACCCAGGATGGATCGTAGGCAGGCTAGCCTAAATGTTTCTAACCGGCGAAGATGTTCCATAAGGTGGGTCCATGTTTCGCAAGCGTAGAGAAGGGAGGGAATGACCATGGCCGAGAAGACCTGAAGCTTAGTGCAGAGCGACAAACCAGGTAGCTTCCACACAGCGTTACGCAACCGATGAAAAGATATTGCCGCTCGACTGATTCGGAGTGAGACCTCTGCTGTTAAACTGGAGCCGGTCATAAGCACACTGCCCAGATATGGGAAACGCTCCACTCTCTCCACAACTGCCCCATCACCGATTGGGAGTTGTGGGGGTGAAGTGTCCGATGGTACAAAATACCCAGGAAGGTGCTTAGCTTTGGTGGGGCTGATGGTAAGGCCCCATTTCTTAGTGGCACGCTCCAGTCCAAGCAGCAGCGTCTCCAACTCCCGCTCTGAATGAGCAGCTATTACCAAATCATCAGCATACTTAACGTGGTTGAGCAATAGGGAGCCATCCCTTGACCGCACCCGGGCATCGATCAGCCTCCCATTATATCTGTACCAAATTGAGATTCCCCCGGTACAGCTATTGAAGGCTTCACAAACTACGTATTCAAAATAGATGTTAAATAATGTGGGAGCCAGAGGACATCCCCGTCACACCCCAAAGTGTACAAGGAATGGCTCTGACTCCCGGCCACGTAGTTTTACCCGGGCCCGCTCACCATCATGAAAGTCCTTAATGATCGTGAGCAGAGGGTCAGGGACTCCAAAAGCATGAAGAACAACCCCGAGCCCAGGCCTACTGATGGTATCATAGGCCTTGACCAGGTCAATAAAGCAGAGATGTAGGTCTTGTTCGAATTCCCTACACCTCTGCTGTAGCAGACGGACAGAAAATATGGCATCTGTGCAGGATCGCCCTTTCCTAAAACCGCATTGGGGCTCCGCAAGCCTCTCCTCAGTGTGCCTGGCAAGGTGATGTTGAATAATCCTTGCCAGGACCTTTCCCGGCACACTGAGGAGTGAGATGCCCCTGTAGTTGTTACAGTCTGTGCGGTCCCCTTCTTAAAGAGGGGGACCACCAGGGCATCCTTTCAATCCTGCGGAAACACACACACCTGCAGAAACACACACACACACACACCTGCAGAAACACACACACAAACCTGCAGAAACACACACGTACCTGCAGAAACACACCTGCAGAAACACACAGACACACCTACAGAATCACACACACACCTGCAGAAACACACACACACACCTGCAGAAACACACACACCTACAGAAACACATGCACACACCTGCAGAAACACAGATACGCACCTGCAGAGACACACACACACACACCTGCAGGAATACACACACCTGCAGAAACACACACACACCTGCAGAAACACACACACACCTGCAGAAACACACACACCTAAAGAAACACACACACACAGCTGCAGAAACACACGCACGCACCTGCAGAAATATACACACACACACACCTACAGAAACACACACACCTGCAGAAACACACACACACCTGCAGAAACACACACACGCACCTCCAGAAACACACACACACACCTGCAGAAACACACACACACCTAAAGAAACACACACACACCTGCAGAAACACACACACGCACCTGCAGAAATACTACACGCACCTGCAGAAACACACACACACCTGCAGAAACACACGCACGCACCTACAGAAACACACACACACCTGCAGACACATACACACGCACCTGTAGAAACACACGCACCTACAGAAACACACACACAAACGCACCTGCAGAAACACACACCTACAGAAACACACACACGCACCTGCAGAAACACACACACACACACACCTGCAGACACACACACACGCACCTGTAGAAACACACACACACGCACCTACAGAAACACACACACACACACCCACCTGCAGAAACACACACCTGCAGAAACACACACACCTACAGAAACACACACACACACGCACCTGCAGACACACACACACACGCACCTGTAGAAACACACGCACCTACAGAAACACACACACAAACGCACCTGCAAAAACACACACCTACAGAAACACACACATGCACCTGCAGAAACACACACCTGCAGAAACACACACACACCTACAGAAACACACACACACCTGCAGAAACACACACGCACCTGCAGACACACACACACACACGCACCTGCAGACACACACACACACGCACCTGCTCACGCAGGTGAAGAGCAAGAAGACGAACAATGAGAAGACGAAGAACGACAGCGCCATGGTCTTCCTGCGGCCGAGCAGATCGATGAACCAGAGCGTGATGAGAACACCTGCAGACCCCCACGGAGACACACATCCCTACAGACCCCCACGGGTCCCTGCAGACTCCCACAGACCACACAGATCCCTACAGAGTCCCACGGATGCGCCTGCGTGTCAGTACGCACGAGTGTGCGCGTGTGTGTGTGTGCTCCCGTGTGTGTGCGTGTGCGCATGCGTGAGTGCGCGCGTGTGTGCGTCATTACACACGAGTGTGCGTGTGTGTGCACGTGAGTGTGCGTCAGCACGGACAAGTGTGCGCGTGTGCGTGCTCGCGTGAGTGTGTGTGTGCGAGTGCTCATGTGTGTGTGCGTGCTCGCGTGTGTGCACATGTACGTGTGCGTGCTTGTGTGTGTGTGTGTGCGCGTGTGTGTGCATGGTCCGGCAAAACAACGCCCTACCTCCTCGTTGGTACCGGACGGTAATCCAGTGGTGGTCAGTGCCATGGGGAGAGGGCCAACTTCGATTGCCCATTCCGCTCATGGCGTTTGTAGTCACCACAGCGGCCAAATGGGGACTCTGGATGGGTGCAAGGGGCTGGTAACCCCTCCACCTTTAAATATATGATATACTACAAAGAAAATATCAAACGAAGCTTGTGCCGGAGGCCCCAGGGGGACAGGCGTCTATGACGTCTCCTGCCCGAACTCCATTTGGCGGAGCCAGGAGACTCAATGCTTTCCCCTCGGGGTAAGCGAGAATTTCATTATCGCTTGCAGCTGGGGTTGGCATCGCCCCCCACTCCTCTGGAGGTCGAGGGTAAATGGGCAAGGTTTCGGACTGTGGCTCATGCAGCTGCAATGGCTGCCTTGGGTACACGGTCCAGACCTCCCCAGAGACCCTGGCTGACAGAGAAGGTGTTCAGGCTGGCTGAGAAAAAGCGACAGGCCCACTCTCATCATCGACAGCATCCCACATCAGAGAATGAGGAGGCTTACTGCAGCCTTCGCTCGGAGGTTCGGAGAGCCATGAGGCACTGCAAGGATGGGTGGTGGTCGCGGGTTGCTGAGGAGATGGAATCTGCCTCAGTGGCCCGCGATTACAAAACACTCTTTAATTCCATCAAAAAAGTAACTTGTAGTACCACACCTATCACCATCATTAGGATAAATAATGGTGATCCAATCTCCGACCCCCATGAACAGGTTTGCAGATTTGCTGAGCATTTCTGAAAGTTCTTTGGCTAGGGGAAATCCCTCAGCCTGGAAAACATCATGGGGCAAAGTGGGGATGACCCTGCTGAGGCTGCCGTGCCTCAAATATTGGAAGAAGTAGTCACCCCCTCTGAGAGGCTGACTAAAGTGCCATCTGTTGAGGAAGTACTGAAGGCGATCCAGAGTCTGAGACCAGGATAGGCACCGGGCAGAGATGATCTCCCAAGCGAAATGCTGAGGGAAGGTGGCGTTTGTGCACAGGCTGCCCTACATGACATTCATAACAACAGTCTGGACCACTGGACGGGTTCCGCAGGATTGTAATGATGCCCTGGTAGTCCCCCCTCTTTAAGAAGGGGGACCGCACAGACTGGAACAACTACAGGGACATCTCACTCCTCAGTGTGCCGGGAAAGGTCCTGGCAAGGATTATTCAACATCGCCTTGCTAGGCACGCTGAGGAGAGGCTTGTGGAGCCCCAATGCGGTTTCAGCAAAGGGATGACCTGCACAGATGCAAGATTTTCTGTCCGCCTGCTACAGCAGAGGTGTAGGGAATTCCAACCTACATCTCTGCTTTAGTGACCTGGTCAAGGCCTCTGATACCATCAGCAGGCCTGGGCTCTGGGTTGTTCTTCGTGCTTTTGGAGTCCCTGACACTCTGCTCACGATCATTAAGGACCTTCATGATGGTGAGCGGGCCCAGGTAAAACTACGTGGCCGGGAGTCAGAGCCATTCCCTGTACACCTTGCGGTGTGACAGGGATGTCCTCTGACTCCCACATTATTTCACATCTATTTCGACCAGCTATTGAAGTTCGTGAAGCCTTCAATAGCTGTTCCGGGGGAATTTCCATTTGGTACAGATATTAAGGGGAGGCTGATCGATGCCTGGGTGCGGTCAAGGGATGACTCCCTATTGGTCAACCACGTCCTGTATGCCGATGATTTGGTAATTGCTGCTCATTCAGAGGAGGAGTTGGAGACGCTGCTGCTGAAACTGGACCATGCCACAAAGAGGTGGGGCATTACCATCAGCCCCACCAAAACTAAGAACCTGTCTGGGTATTTTGTACAATTGGACACTCCACTCCCACAACTCCCAATTGGAGAGTTTCCCATACCTGGGCAGTGTTCTCATGACCAGCTCTGGTTTAACAGCAGAGGTCTTACTCCGAATCAGTCGAGCGGCAATATGTTTTCATTGGTTGTGTAACGCTGTGTGGAAGCTACCTGGTCTGTCGCTCCGCACGAAGCTGCAGGTCTTCTCGGCCACGGTCATTCCCCCCCTTCTCTACGCTTGCGAAACGTGGACCCCCCTAATGGAACATTTTCGCCGGTTAGAAACATTTAGGCTGGCCTGCCTACGATCCATCCTGGGTTTAACCAGACTGGATTGTGTGAGGAGCTCACAAATCCTTGAAAGATCTGGGCAAGGTCCCATCGGTGAGCTCCTCCGGCGGGCAAAGCTGTGATGGCTGGGTCATGTAGCCCGCATGGCCAGCCACCGCATGCCGAAACAGCTTTTGTTCGGCCAGATTGAGGGGGCTAAGCGGGCGCGGCACGGGCTAGAGAAGAGATGGAGTGATGTGGTACAGGAGGACGTGGAGCTGAGTGGACTTGCCGATGACTGGTACCAGCGGTGTCAAGATCGGCCTCTGTGGAGGAGGCTCGTGAAGGATGCTACTGGGCAGTTGGAGGTAGTCACCCTCCAACAACAACGGAGGGCGGAGGAGCGACGCTCAGAACAACGAGCGGAGCGCCGGGTGGCTAAAGCACAGCAGGTTGGCACAGTAGGGGGCATAGGTGGTGCATCAGCCAGTCATCTCAGTCAGTCGACCCGTGGCACCTGGGTCTGCCCTGTGACCTCCTGCCAGCGGGCGTTCGACACTTCACGTGGCCTCAGGGTGCACATAGCCTGGCACAAGCGTCGTGGTGACGTCACCGCCACTTAGTGGTGAATGGCGGTTGTTGTTGTTGTTGTGTGCGTGACTGTGTGTGTGTGTACATGAGTGCGTGTGTGTGTGCGTGACTGTGTGTGTACGTGAGTGCGCGTGTGTGTGCGTGTGTATATGTGTGTGTGCGTGTGTGTGCGTGTGTGTGTGTGCGCATGCGAGCGTGTACCGGGGAACTCGGCAAGCGTGGTCCACAGCAGGTCCAGGTAGTCGGTGCTGCTCAGGTATTTACACTCGAGGCTACAGTGTGGAGTCATCTTGTCGCCCTCCGTGTGCGCTGCCTCCCCACACACACAGACAAATGTCCCCCGTGTAGCCTTTAACAAGTTCTGTTAGCGAGTAGCATCTACGAAGGGGGTGGGTGGCCAGAATCACGCCTGGCCGCCTTTGTCTTCCCCACGCTTATGTTTCCACACTGCACCAGGTATGGATTTGAATCGACCTAGGGGAGGCCCAGGACTGAATTTACATTTAACACAAATTAGATGCAAATGGTACCACTAAGATGAAACTGTGGTGAGGATCACCACGGTAAGCAACGGGAAGGACAGTTGAGTGAGGACACACGGCGACCGAGTCGACTCTTAGACGTCCGCGGGATGGCTTGTCATGATCGACCAATTCCACGAGACCACAAGCAGGGATCCAATTCAGAAAGGGTCTGTCCGGGTGGGCGACCCTGGAAATAGTTCCTCATTCCAGAATACCACATCCAGTGTACGCCTCACTAAGGCCACCTCCTGGAATCATCATCACCGCGGTCCACTCATGGATAAAGGCCTCCCAATTCTGCCACCACCTCTCACGATCCTGCGATAGAATTACCCGGAATTTTATGGCCTGGAATGATACAGCAAAAGAACCGGAGCCCCGGGGTACGCGAGTCCGTGAGTCCGCGAGTCCACGAGTCCGTGAGTCGGTGAGTCCGCACGCCGCTCTCCCCGCGGCACCGCCGCTCTCCCAGCCGTTCCGAACTCCGGATTGCACTGCGCGCTTCGGCACCGATGCCAGCGAGAGGCTTTTGGTGTCACCCGTGGGATGGCTTCGGCGGCCATGACGCGAGGTCAGCTACCGCCGACTCAGTGCGATGCCGCCGGTGAACGGCGCCAAGTTGCCGGGCGTACCATGGCAGACGTCGCCGGCTTGGAAGAGCTCCGTGGTGAGCAGCACCAGGCCGTAGTAGGAGAACGCGTTGCAGAACCTGACGGGAGGGCGGACAGGGCGAGAGGTCGCGTAAGCACGAAGGGCGCGGAGCGGTGACGGGTGGTGACGCGCGGCGACGCGCGGCGACGCGGATTGACGCGCGGCGACGCGCGGTGACGCTCACCAGATGAACCACAGCAACAGGGTGGTGACTCTGAGCTGCGGCGTGAAGAGGTCCTGGAACCGCCCCCTCTTCTCCTGGCGCGCGACACACGCCACAACAAGCCACCACACGCCACCACAGCTGCTCACTCACGCCACTCGCCCCCAACAGTCTATCACGGCTGCGTGGGGGATCTCTCCCTTTGCGCGCGTGCGCAAGTGCACGCGCGCCACCCATTGCGCCCCTCACCTGCTGGGCCCTCGCCTCCTCGCGGCCCTCACCTGCTGCGACGAGGTGAGTTTGCCGAGGGGCATGGGCACCCCGTTCTCGGTGGCGATGCGCTTGAGCGTCGCATGAGCCTTGTCCGTGTTGCCCGTCAGCACGTCGTAGCGTGCACTCTCCGGCAGCCACTGCGCCACGGCACACAACGATGACACTGCTCCCTCACCGCACGCCCGCTCGCTCGGCCCACGTGACCACCAGGTGGCGTGCTTATTTACCATCCGCAAAGCACTGAGGCCGACGCAGACACGAGAAGCATTCTTCGCGATTTGGTGCTCATGAGAAATAAAATACTTGACTCTTGAATTGTTACCACAAATCATGGCAATTCATGGGATCGTTAGGGGGGAGGAGTGAATCAACAAATGCCTGAGGTTGAGGGTGTTCGAGGTCAGGATCAGGAATCGGACGCTGGGGTTAACGGTCGGAGGTCGACGTCTGGGGCACGAGGCCGGGGCGGCACTCACGAAGGAGAAGACGGCGAAGACGACGAGGGGGATGGCGGAGAGGCCCAGCAGCCAGCGCCAGCCCAGCGTCGGCATCACCACGATCGCCAGCAGCACCTCGGCCACCGTGCCCACGGCCCAGAAGACCTGGACGAGCGGCGCGCCAGCGGTAGCCTCACCGGGCGGGGGGACACACACCCCCCGCCCACCCGCCCTCCAGAATCTGCCCAAACGTCCCAGGGTAGCAGGGGCCTCCTGAAAACGAGTCTCTAGACTCGCCGAGGCTTTCCTGGACGAGCGGAGGGCACCGTTTGGCGATCGCCGACCCCACGCTCGCTGGCCAGACCGGCGCGAGCAGGGGATCGACGACCCGCCGGACCCTTTTTCCGCCTAACGGTTCCCAAAGCTGAAATTTTCTTGCCAAAATAATTCCCCAAAATCATGACTAAGCGGCTCGGGGTTACAATGCAACAAAACATTTCAGTCGGCAGCCGACCGCTTAAATCGCGAGCGCCAGCGAGCATTCCGCGCTGCCGCCGCTCACCTCGATGAGGACGATGCACTTAGCCCGTGCCTTCATGGGGAGAAACTCCGCATACAGTGTGACCCTGCGGGAAGGGGGGGGGGGCGGGGGGGCCCTGGGTTAGACTGCCGGCCCGGCACCCGCGATCGCACGGAGCTTGGAGCAAGGGGAAGCGCGACCACCGCGGACTCCGCCAACTCGGACCCAACCAGCGTGGGAACACCCATGCGTCCGTTTCCGTTGAAAGAGCGAATTTTTAGCCCCAATGGGACCGCCTGGCCTTACGCGAAGACGTCTGCGCGCGTGGACACACACCAAGGTACGTGCACGCACAAAGGCAAAGATCCCCCGTATAGCCTTGGCAGACTGTTGGGGCAAGTGCTTTTGGCGAGCAGCACCTCTAAAGGCCGGCACGGCACACGAGGGCGCGGGTGGCCAACACCACGCCTGGCTGCTTCCGTCTCCCTCGTGGTGACGTTCACACGTCGCACCGGGTAATCATTTGAGGTTGAGTCAACCTAGCGGAGGTCCAGGACCGGTTCAGGACCAGTGCTGGCCGCGAGCGGGAATCGAACTCGGGTCGCCGGGTTGGTAGCTCGCCGCGCTGACCGCGACACCACCGCGCCCACACAAACGCGCACGCGCGTGTGCAAAACACGCATGAGCACGCGCGCGCCGCTCACGACTGAGGAATCCCTCCGATGCCGAAGCCGACGAGGCCGCGCAGCAGCAGGATCCAGCCGTAGACGGGCGCCAGCGCGCTCAGTATCCCGTAGTAGAGCGCCCACAGCACGCTCAGCTTCAGGCCCTGTGGGGACACGCACATTGGGGGGGGGAGACACGCATGGTGAGATACACGGATGCGTGGGGAGACACGGGGATAATTGGGGAGCAATGGGTGGGAGCACACGGGCAGACACGGGACACGAGCATCACGCAGGGCGCACACGTGCACCGCGCGGGCCGAGTGAGCGGGGGGCCCCCGTGCGGGGTTGGAGCCGCGGTTACCATTTTGCGGCCGTACTGGTCCGAGAAGTTCCCCCACAGCGACGAGCTCAGCATCATCCCGATGAACACCACCTGCCGGCACGGAGTGGAGGGGGGCGACACACGGGGGGGGGGGGGCACAAACGAGAGAGATCAAAACGGGCCACGGCGATGCAAACAAGGCGGCGATGGCGAGGATGCGGGTGGCGTGGGGGGTGCCCTCACCGACGTGATGAGCGCCACCTGCCAGCTTTGCAGCTGCCACTCGCAGTGCAGCTGCGGCGCCAGGATGGAGAGAATCATCATCTCCATCGCGTCCGCCATCTGAGCGGCCACAGGGAACGAAGAGAGGGGAGGGGGGGGGGGGAGAGATAGAACTCTCTCTCCACGGAGAAACATCAGCTCCCGCCGCACTCCCTCGAGCGCTCCCTCGCCCTCCGTCACGATGCGCCACGCTCGCTCGTGATGCGGGGTAGGGTTCTGGTCGGGGTTAGGGTGAGAGGTTGAGGGTTAGGGGTTATGGTCTCACCCAGGCCAGGCCGGTGACCACGGACAGCTTCCACTGGAACTTGCCGAAGCCGATGGCCTCCACGGCATCTTCCACGGTGAACACATCTAGAGACAGGCGCGCGGCGCGAGAGCTGTTAGCGAGCACCAAGCAAGGCCGGCACGGCGCACTGCGGCCCCGGCAAGCCGCCCCGGTGACGAGGTCTCGCGCGGCACCGGACTCGTTCGGACATCACTCCGAGCTACTGATGGCGACCGTGGCCAGGAATCAAACTCAGGTGGCCGGGTTCGTTGTGCGGTGCACTAACCACTGCGCCACCGATCCCCACACCCACACACAGACATGCGCCATTTGAAACTAATTGCCGGTAAAATTTCGATTTAAAGCTGTCGTGACTGCAGGGATTCATCTGCTTGGTTCTTTCGGTAAAGTCACGTAGAAGGGAAGTAATGAAATAATAAAAATAAAACATAGTAAAATAAAATTCTCACGACGTTTCGGCCACAACACAAGCAGCCTTCCTCAGGTGAAGAAACAGAACTGTCAGGAAGACAGCGCTTCAGTGAACACTGCTAAGCTTGGCAGCGTCTTTTAAGCTGGGTGGGAGGAGCAGAGCGCCTTGACAAAGGAGTTTACATATCAACAGAATGATTTAGCATTGAAATAGCTGTGTTAATGTGATAGATTAGCAGGATGTTAAAGTCAGAAATTAGCATGTAACTGGGAGATTAGCATGATGTCAGTGTGAGGGATTAGCATGTAACTGGTAACGGAAGTAGCTATGTTAAAGTCAGAGTTTACATATTAACAGAGGCATTTAGTATATTGACGCTAAATAACTGCAACTACCCAACTATCATACAATAAACCGATGTGAAAGAACTAAATATAAACTACATCAATGATTATATTGATGTAGTTTATATTTCGTTCCTTCACATCGCTTTATGGTATGATAGTTGGGTAGTTGCAGCTATTTAGCATCACGAATGGTCGGTTAGGTTGATGTCAGGTTAGGTGACCATTCTGTTCTTGCTTAGGGCAGTGTGTTCAGGAGCTCGATGCCAATGTCGAGGTCTGCTGCTCGCCACGACGAGAGGGCTTCAGCAGACAGAGAGTTCGTGTCGTGGCACTGTTCCTCCTCCTCTGTTGAAGGAGCGCGGACCGCGGTGGGGTTTACTGTGCATGTCCATAGTGTGGCTTGCATGGCCACAGTCGCACTGCTGTAGCTTATTTTTTACGTATTTCTATTGGTTATCTGTGAATCTTCAGGGGCCTCTACAGTGAGGGAAAAAAGTATTTGATCCCCTGCTGATTTTGTACTTTTGCCCACTGACAAATAAATGATCAGTCTATAATTTTAATGGTAGGTTTATTTGAACAGTGAGAGACAGAATAATAACAAAATCCAGAAAAACGCATGTCAAAAATGTTATAAATTGATTTGCATTTTAATGAGGGAAATAAGTATTTGACCCCTCTGCAAAAACATGACTTAGTACTTGGTGGCAAAACCCTTGTTGGGAATCACAGAGGTCAGACGTTTCTTGTAGTTGGCCACCAGGTTTGCACACATTTCAGGAGGGATTTTGTCCCACTCCTCTTTGCAGATCTTCTCCAAGTCATTAAGGTTTCGAGGCTGACGTTTGGCAACTCGAACCTTCAGCTCCCTCCACAGATTTTCATTGGGATTAAGGTCTGGAGACTGGCTAGGCCACTCTAGGACCTTAATGTGCTTCTTCTTGTGCCACTCCTTTGTTGCCTTGGCCATGTGTTTTGGGTCATTTTCATGCTGGAATACCCATCCACGGCTCATTTTCAATGCCCTGGTTGAGGGAAGGAGGTTCTCACCCAAGATTGACGGTACATGGCCCCGTCCATCGTCCCTTTGATGCGGTGAAGTTGTCCTGTCCCCTTAGCAGAAAAACACCCCCAAAGCATAATGTTTCCACCTCCATGTTTGACGGCGGGGATGGTGTTCTTGGGGTCATAGGCAGCATTCCTCCTCCTCCAAACACGGCGAGTTGAGTTGACGCCAAAGAGCTCCATTTTGGTCTCATCTGACCACAACACTTTCACCCAGTTGTCCTCTGAATCATTCAGATGTTCATTGGCAAACTTCAGACGGGCATGTATATGTGCTTTCTTGAGCAGGGGGACCTTGCGCGCGCTGCAGGATTTCAGTCCTTCACGGCGTAGTGTTACCAATTGTTTTCTTGGTGACAATGGTCCCAGCTACCTTGAGATCATTGACAAGATCCTCCCGTGTAGTTCTGGGCTAATTCCTCACCGTTCTCATGATAATTGCAACTCCACGAGGTGAGATCTTGTGTGGAGCCCCAGCACGAGGGAGATTGACAGTTCTTTTGTGTTTCTTCCATTTGCAAATAATCGCACCAACTGTTGTCACCTTCTCACCAAGCTGCTTGGCAATGGTCTTGTAGCCCATTCTAGCCTTGTGTAGGTCTACAATCTTGTCCCTGACATCCTTGGAGAGCTCTTTGGTTTTGGCCATGGTGGAGAGTTTGGAATCTGATTGATTGCTTCTGTGGACAGGTGTCTTTTATACAGGTAACAAGCTGAGATTAGGAGCACTCCCTTTAAGAGTGTGCTCCAAATCTCAGCTTGTTACCTGTATAAAATACACCTGGGAGCCAGAAATCTTTCCGATTGAGAGGGGGTCAAATACTTATTTCCCTCATTAAAATGCAATTCAATTTATAACATTTTTGACATGCGTTTTTCTGGATATTTTTTTTATTGTTATTCTGTCTCTCACTGTTCAAATAAACCTACCATTAAAATTATAGACTGATCATTTCTTTGTCAGTGGGCAAACGTACAAAATCAGCAGGGGATCAAACACTTTTTTTCCCTCACTGTATGCGCTTCTGTGGGTATAAACGCACATTGATGAGTCTCTGCGGGTTTACTACAGAGTTTAGTTCATAGCTTTGGTTGCATGGCCACAGTCGCACTGCCGTGGTGTGTCTTTCATTTTCCATGGGTGAAGGCGACGTGCACCGCAGCCTTGTTGATGTCCTGATGCGGTTGATGGTTCCATGAGGAGTGCCAGAGCCGGGGGGTTGCGCTATGCGGGGCCTCAAACGGGGTGTTTATTCTCGACATCTGCGCTCGTCCACGGCTCGTCATCGTTCTTCCGGATCCGGCTGAGATTCTGGGATGGCGACGGCGGCGTGATCCCACAGGGAGACATCGAGGGCTTGAGTTGGCGGTCAGGGACATTATGGAGGCCTTGGTTCATGGAACACTTAAAGAGTAGAACGGGCAGCCACAAAGCAAAGGCATGCATTCCCCATGTAGTCTTTATCAATTTATTATTTTATTCTCATTCTACGTGACTTTACCGAAAGAACCAAAGAAGATGAATCATTGCAGTCACGAAAGCTTTAAATCGAAATTCTTTATAGACTGTTGGGGAAAGTTCTTTTAGCGAGCACATATGCAGGCCAGAACGGCGCACAAGGGGGCAGGTGGTCAGCACCACGCTCGACCGCCTTTGTCTCCCTAGCGGCGATGTTTACACAGCGCACCAGGTTACTCATTTGAGGATGAGTCGACCTAGGGGAGGCCCAGAACCGGTTCGGATAATCGTCACCGGTGTTGGTCGCGAGCGGGAATCGAGCATGGGTGGCCAGGTTCGTAGCGCAGCGCGCTAACCGCTGCACCACCGCTCCCCACACACACACACAGCGCGCTAACCGCTGCACCACCGCTCCCCACACACACACAGCGCGCTAACCGCTACACTACCGCTCCCCACACACACCCACGCGCGCGCGTGCTCGTGGGTGTGTGCGTGTACTCGTCCTGTACGCGACCCATCAGAGCCACAAGTGGCCGTCCCCAAATCTCCCTGCGCTGACTCAGCAGAGAGCAAGAAGACCCCCTCGGGGAGGGCAGTGGAGGGAGCCACGACTCCCCAAGGGGCGGGGTGAGGAGTGTGCGGTGGAAGGGGGGAGCCCCCTCCCCCGTGTCCCGATGTCCTTGGTATGCCGGTACTCCGCCCCGTCCGGCAAGTTTGTCCGTGTCCTTTGACATTTGAATCGATCGGCGGTAGCCCGGGTCACCGCAAAATATTGGTGGGTCGGGCATAGTTTAAGGTTTTTTTTTTTTCTGGGAGCATCGCTGGAACTACGACCCTGTCCTGCCGGAGGGCGACGCTGGGAGCGGCGATGATGATGACGACGATGTCGATCCCGCCAGCACGACCGTGACCGCCGGCCGTACCGAGAGAGCGCCTGGTGCGCCATTGCCTCCAAGTGGTCTCGCTCCCAAACACAAGGAGGGTGGCCGCCCCCGTAAGAAGCAGAACGTGCTGGGGAATGACCAGACCAGCATCCTGATGTACTTTCACAACAAGCGATAAACAGCCGTTGCCACGCACAAATATCCCAGCAGCCCCCCTTTTTTATGAGTGTTTTGCGTTTGTTTTTTATTTCCATATTTGGCGTGCGTATCGGGCTCAGTGACATCTCCCGTCTTCATAGGCCTTCTGGTTTCGGAGTTATGGAGGTTTTGGCACCTCCGGGTCACGATGGTGACCCGGGTCACCGCCAATCGATTAATTTGATGTTGATGTGCAAACGTTCGTCCACTCGCGAGCGCCTCACCGAGTCCCGTGACTCCTTTTCAGGCGGGTCTCCCCGCCACGCTTCTGCAGTCGAGGGCGACGACTGCGCTGCGTTATTCCAATCGAGTAACTTGCGGATCTTGGGAAATGTTGCACATTTTGGCACCATGGCGTCGGCGCACAGTGTGACCTTGCTCTTGCGAATGACGCCACGGGGATCTTCGACGCCCACCCGTGTAGCGGACGGCGCCTACCGCGTTTTACGGTCAATGCACCCGCGTTATTAGCCGGGGCGGCCGCGGGGTTTTATTTTGTTCGAACCGCGAAAGCTCTCGACTGCAAGAGGCGAGCGAGCGCGCTGCCGCTGGACGCGATGCCCCTTTGGCTGACATTTACACCGGGAGAGGCGAGAGGATGGACGTCGTCACAGCCTCGGTTAGAACCGCGCCGTGTTTCGCTCTGCGCAGGAGCGGCGCCCGTGGGTGGGTTCACGATCCCGCGTCGCCGTCCTAC